CCTATGACGTTCGGACACTTCACTTCGTGGCATGCGGACGACCGTGGCTACTATTCAGGGCCCCGCGGCCGACGACGACGGCGTGCGCGCGCGAAGAAAAAACGAATGTGTCCCGCATGGTATTATTTGACAGGGATGATGGCCCTGGCAGGTGCGCAACCGTTGTCGCAGAAGTTCGAAAAAGTTGCTCGCAAAAGCCCGTTTGACAGAAATGTTTAAAAAGTGTTGGGTTTCCTACGAATCCGCAAGAGCGCGCGGGATGAGATTTTGACATTTTTTTGTTGAAAAACCATTGGTTTTTTGATGTTTTTATGTTAAAATCGCTCCGAACACTAAGCTTTTGGAAGGATTTCGTCTTGCGCGCGCGAATGTCCACTTTACCTTATTTTTTGCAAGGGATTCTTGAAATTTGATTATATTAGAACAAGAAATGTCATTTTATAGTGTTTTTTGCAAGGGAAAACGGATTACAACAAAACAACCGGATCTGATCACATCGTTTTACCTGAGGCTTCCTCACGAAAATGATGAAAATGTAGCTGCGGCCTAGGCGGCGCAGGGGGGGCGTGCACCAGGGGGCCCAACAATAATTATTCTTTAGAATAAATAATGTTCAACAACAGCAACAACAACAAGACGAAGCAGAATCCGCGCCACGGATCCTCACTTCAGCCACGCACCCAGGGACAGTGAATGACTGACTGTTCGGGCTCCCTCACTCTGATAAGACCCTATGTGCAAACACATATGTGTACATTTGTATACACATATATGTATGCAACTGCGGGGGGCTCTACATATACATGTATGTATAGAAATATTCAACTAAACAACAATATGCGTTGTGTCCGATGTGTTCCGCCACGCGTGTTGTTCCGCAAAGATTGTGCCGCACAATTAGACTGCACCCCGCAGGTTGAAATAGACAGCTTTCTCCACATGGACTGCACTGCGCAGACGCACCCCGTGGATTACACCTCAATCGTTGCACCCCAGGCTGCACCCTGTAAGCCAACGCTTGCACGTTGCCCAGAGTCAGTGCTTGGGGCCCACGCACTGCCATCACACAACCACACGCACGATCTACAGTCGATGTATTGTCCCCGCACGGCCACAACGTCTGTCGGTTCCCCGGCCGCTCTCGGAAACGCCGTGTCGTGTACTACCTATGCGCCGCGCGTTAGGATTTACAAGCCAGGGCCAGACATTCTCCGTGGCGGCAAATCCTGGGCAAGCCCTCTTGGCGCAGGCTGCAGAACGGCTTTTACCTTCCCTCTCCCAAAGCCTCTTCTTACCCGATTCTGAGAGGGGCGTGCGCCTCGAAGGGGGCGAAGCGGCAGACGGACCTTACTGGCCCAACATTGCTCCACGATGGCCCCTGACGCCCCAATATGGCATCCAAGATGGCTCAAGATATCGTGAGCTGGTTCACGATGGCCCCCGACATACCCTCGAGAGGCCCAACGACTGCCACAAGACGGCTCCAAATGCTCTCGGAGCCCCCCAAAGAACCCCTTCCAAAAGGCTCAAGTCGCCCAAAAGCCTGAAGCAAACACACTGGTGTGTGAATTCTCACCTTTTCGCATCTGGTGGGCCTTTGATGTCTTAAGGTGGCTCCAAGATGGCCCAAGAAAGCCCGAAGTGGAGCCCAAGACGGCCCCACGATGGCCCAAGAGGTCTCCAACTGCGCCACTGGAGGGCCGCAATAAGCAAGTGTTCTGCCTCCAAGAAGGGAGGAGGAGGAGGAGGATGAGGAGGAGGAGGAGGAGAAGGAGGAGGAGGAGGAGGAGGAGAGGAGGAGGAGAAGGGGGGGGGGAGGGGGCGAATTCAGCCACCCCCCTTTTGGAGCCATGGGGCCAAAGATCGCCCAAAGATCCCGCCCAAAACCCCCAAAACGCCCCCCCCCCCTCCAAAAAAAACAGCCGTAAGAGGGCCCAAGAGGGCCGCGGGATAGTCCCAAGAAGATCCCAAGAGGGCCTCAAGAAGACCCCCCAAAAACCCAGAGACTCTTCCAATAGGTTCTCACAAAGAAAAATCCGCAAAGACTTCCTCTTCGTCCTCCTTCTCCTCCTCTCACCTTCCTCGTCCTTATCTTGCTCGTCTTCGTCTTCCTCCTCTTTCTACCTGCTTCTACGGGCGTTCTTCCTCTTTATCCTGCTCCTCATTGTTCTACTTTTCCTCCCCCTCCCCTCCTTCAGGCCCCTCACCCGGGCAGCTCTCATGGGTATCGTTTCTGGACAGGGGAGGTCAGAATACGCGAAGCATCAAGAATGGCTACCCTGGGGAGCAGAAGAAACTGGAGACGAGGAATCCTGCCACCCGTGCCAGTCGTGCCTCCCTAATTCGACGGAGCCACTCCCACGGACTCCGACTCGGCTTGGGGCGACTGGCAGACGGCCGACTAGCGACTGGGGGCTCCAAGACGGCACCCATCCCACCGCCCTTGATTCAAGAATCCCCCACCCGCCTCTTTCCCCCGCGCCTCTTCCTAGCCACTCCCGTGTCCGCTTGCAGCACGCCTGGCGCGCACCAGAGCGCGGCCGTCTCCGAAAGCACCTGCCCGGCCCCTCTCGAGGACCCCCTCCGAGCGAGGCTGTCATCAGATGCCTCCTCTCGACGAGGTGGTTGAAGGGGCCCTGGGACACACAAATGCATGCACACAAATAACAAGATCCCCCATATTTCCCAACATTTCTGGGATTTTTTCGTCTTCCCCCCCCCCTTCCCATATGTTTTGCATATCTTCCTGAACATCGACAATCAATTGTGTCTGTGTGTTTTTGTCCCCTCCTGAGTGGTGGCAGGCGCACCCCCAGGCAAGAGTGCCCCCTGGTGCGCGGCCCGAGGGGCAGCCCACCTGCAGGCACCGCCCCACGCGCGCAGGCCGCTGCCGCCGCCTCGCGCCCAGCAGTCGGGGGAGCCCCCGGCGGGCCCCGAATCCCCAAAAGGCCACTCCCGCGAAGGGCCGCTCCCACGCGTGGCCGATCCTAACCAGCCTCGAACGTATCCCCATCCCTAACATTAGAGGAAAGAGAACTATGCACATACACCGATTCTGGCCAGGCCCATCCTGAGCCCAGGATCGGTGCATACGCCCTCCTACCTTGGACAGGAAGGTATATGCACCGATCCTGGGTCAAGGATGAGCCTTGCCAGGATCGGTGCATGTGCATAGTTCTCTTCGCCCGAAACATGGGCGAGCAAAAAGCGAGGACAATCTTAGGGATCCGCCCTCAAAACAAAAAAAGGGGAACCCCTGAGATTGGCATCGTGGTAGGGGAGATGCCCAGCATAGGGATAGGGGTATGTTCCAGGCTAGTAGACTCCCGCGAAGGGCCGCTCCCACGTGTGGGCCGATCCTCCCGCAGGCCCGATCGGGCCTGCGAGCGGACGTGGCCACGTCTGCCGGTCGCCCCCCACTTTGGACGCCCGAAATGGGTACGGGAAGAATGGGCACACTGCCCCACAACAAATGTTGTCCCAAACCAACCGCGGCCGCGGTTGGGCAGGCGGCCTTCTGTCTCGAATGGACACAGGCCGCGGCGGCGCGGACAGCGAGTCCTGTTCAAAATGAACAGTCGGGAGCGGCCAAGAGGGGGAGAGGGGGGGTGCAAATCATGGCCGGCGGCATGTGCGCGGCCCAGCGGGGGGGCCAGGGACGTAATGAAACAAGAAGAGGCGCCATGAAATCTGGGGAAATGTCATGGCCCCCGCAATGATATCAACCCCCCCCTAGTCATCACCCCACTCTTTTCCGCCCCCGAAACAGGAGCTGCTGTTGGGCATGGCGCCCATTCTTTCCGTATACCCCTTTCGGGCGTCCAGACCCAAGGCCGCTGCGCGCCGGCCGGCGCGCGCACATCTCCGCGGCCCTGCTTGAAAAATCGCTAGCATGCACGGAGGCAGAAGTCAATCGGTAGGGGGCCAACTGCGAACCCTACCCCTACCCCCCACGATTTCTGAGGGGGAGGATAGGGGTTCACTTCGCTCGGGAGCTCCCGAACGAAGCGAACCCCACCCTCCCCCTCAGAACTCGTGGGGGGTAGGGGTAGGGTTCGCAGTTGGCCCCCGAATCGGATCGCCCGACTTGGTCACGTGCCATACCCTCTGCGGCATCGCATGGCCCGAAGAGGACCTCCGTCGGATTGCCCTGAAGCCGTGCTGCGGATCCTGGCTCCTCGGCCCTTCACGTCACCAGCACCCGCGGGCAGCACGACTGGGCTCGCCTGGAATGCAGTCGGTGCCCCGAGAAGACGTGTCAGCAATGCGGATCTGGAGCAAAGTGGCGTGGCACCGTCCCAGATCCCGGCCGGGCCAACAAGAGACGATCGTCTCACAGGTGCACCAATACGTGGGCCGCCCTTCCAGCACTTTCAATGAATCAAGGCCGCGACGCAAGAAGCACGGTGCTCCTTTCGCCCTCGGGCGTGACCTCGACGACCAGCCTTCGAACAGCACGCACGCTGGCGTGGGCGTCGGCTTCGGCGTGCAGCTGGGGAGGGATATCCAGGGCAAAAAAGTAAGGCTCGGGCCACCTGGAGCCCAAGCTCGATTTTGTACGTCGCCTGCAGGCCATGTGTCGTCCTACCACTCACGTCTCCAGAACATCAGATCCGAATCTGGCGCCAACGTGAACATCACACTGCCACGGCAGGAGCCATGCATGGCGCAGTGCGTTTCGGAGGCGGTCTGGCCACATGGAATCAAAAACTGGAGCGCACCTGGATCCCAAACTCCATCGTTTTTTTGTCACTGGCAGGCCCGAGCTGGATCGAGTCGCGAAATCGGATCGGATCACCAACGAATCATCCCGAATCGCATCGAAACAGGGTCGCCTCGCCCAGCTCCGGCTGGCCCCAACCGATGCCCGTGGATCGGACCGAATCGAATCGCATCGGAATCGCGGCCCCGGCCGGCGAGTCGAAGCGCATCGCATCGGATCGTGGGGGGAAGATCTGAGAGACAGATGCTTGGATTCTGCGCGGCCGAGGGAAGAAGCGCTACATCTGATGGATTCCACGCAGCCGCAACTTCATGCCCCACTCGCTGGGGAACGCGCGCCTCTCCGCCCCCTCGACGGACACGCTCAGCTCGTCGATGGCCTGCTGTCCGGCGGGTGGAGCCCTCGCCGCCGCTGTCTGCAGGTCGCGTCTGCTGGGCTGGACGGAGTGGGCCCCGCGGGGGGGAGCGCCCCTCCTTCTGAAGGACCAGGTATGCAGCAAGAGAGGATCGATCCAGCCCATCTCAGGACCTGCCTGACGCCGGTGAAGGCAAGAGAGGCTCTGGAGCTCCGCGTGTGCTCATGCTTCAACCAGAGCTGGTGGGACCAGAAAGACTCAACATCGAATCGGATCATCGGATCGGCCATCGGGATACATCAAGTCGGCAACTATCGGTAGGCAGATCGAAAGGCATCGGACTCGACATCCGCCAGCTCAAGCTGAAGCATGCACGAGAAAATCCGAGCCAAAGTCGGAATCCACAATCGAATCGGAAAGAAATCATAATCCTCGAAACCACATCGATTATGCTTTCTGGCCTTTATGTGCTTTCTGGGCTCCTTGCAGACGGTTCCCTGTGCTTTCTGGGCTCCTGAAACCACCGTCTGGACCTAAGCGACGGGTCCGTATCGGTCAGGAGGGCGGCCAAACGGCCCCGCGAGAGGCCACAGAGGCCCCAAACACCCACCACACGCCCGAAGACGACCCAAGAGGTATTCGAAACGCAACTATATGTGTATATATATATATATATATTCCTACGGATTTGCATTATGTTGGGAATGCTTTATGCTTCGGTCTTCCGGGCGTCCGAGACCGCCCAGGAGGCCAGAGAATCGCTGGTATACTTGCGTAGGCACTCTGTGTGTAATGGTGAGTGCTCGAATGGGCAAGCTGTGGCGTTCCCTACCCCCCCCCCGCAAACAAACGAACAAACGGGAGTGGTGGGTGACGGCGCTAGAGAGGAGGGTTTGAATAAAGTAAGGAGATGGGAGGCATCATATGGACTGGAGAATCTGGCAAATGCATGCGTTAATACCGGCGCATTAGAGCCACGGCCAATAATAAAGCAGCGGCGGCTTCACTGAGGAAGTAACATACTAGGCCGTGATGGTGCTTTATTGGGCCATCTTGGGCGCCGTGTAAGGAATCTTGGGCGTGTGGGCCGTCTTGGGCGTCTTGGGCCGTCGTGGCCGTCTTTGGCGTCTTGGGGAATATTGGGGCCGTCTTGGGCGTCTTGGGCCGTCTTGGGCGCAACCCGAACGCACAGCGGGGGTGGCACATCGGTGGCGACAGACTTGATCACTAATCCCTCATCAGCAGCATCTTCCGTAGCCCATTGTGGCTTAAGTTATTCATGGACATGGTTGCATCTTCAATGCACAGTTCGTTTTGGTGGCTTTGGTTTTTAAGGTTGATCGCGAGCGGCACCCAGACGGTGAGACGTCTTTGAAACACCGTGCAGTGCGAAATGCTGTATTAGAGAATGCTTCGCAAGATGGGCAATCTCCAGGTCGTCACTGCACTATTCAGCTCGCGCTTCTCGCTGCCGTGGTGAATCGATGTTGTGGCCATTATTTCAATGCAAACGACATCCAATATAATCAGAGCCAACTAGCTCCCGCGGGCTCACGCACGCAGATGCGGAAGCGCCGCGCGGAGGATCAGGCCCTCGCACCAGTTGACGAAACGAATATACCACAATCTGTTGGGATAGTCAATGTTGCCCTGGTAGCCCTGCTGGCGTCCCGCGGCGAAACAAGTGCTGCCATGCGTGAAGACATTGGCGCCATCCCTACAAGCAGAAACTACTACGTGAACAAATGTTCCCGCCTCCAATCGAAGATCGAGGGTTTGCATAATGATTGCGACACTCTTAGTAGCCATGCCAATTTCAGGCCTGGTGATCGAAATACAAGTCGACGTGGTGGCTGCAGCATCGCCATCACCAGGTCGAGGACAATGGCGAGTGGCAGCTCTGCTATTTTACTCGCTGCTGGGGACGCCGTTCGCGGCGGGTTCAAGGACCCCAACACCGTGACGAAGTACGAGGCTTGGGCATGCTTGGCGCAGCGAGTTGCATCACAAGGCATTGGCGCCCAAACGGGGGGGGGGGGGGGCATTTGCGCACCTCGCGATCCCAAGTGTGTTCCTGTGTGGCTTCCGTATGCTCGATTGCTGGGGTCCGAAGTGCCCTCATGCCGCATGCCCTCACGTTTGGTTTCCCAATCAAGGCGTGTATGCAGAGATGGCAACCCTTGCTCGATCTGCAAGCGCCGCTGGCGAATGTGCTTACACATTCACCTGCTTCAAATGGGGGTTGCACTAAGCAAGAGGCCTTCAACAAATCAAACGTTAACGCTGGGGTGCTGGGAACAACCGCTTTCACCAGAGACGCAATTGCTTCGTCATCCAGCGGCAACCGTGTGGACATACCACAACTGTCGGAGGACTCGCTATACACACGTTCGATACGCGAATTGCAGAAGAACTTCAGTGGCACTGGTGCTGAGATGGTGATGACCATCGACAAGGAGATGGTGAGCGTCGGTTCCAAACCAATGGAGCGCCTGATCACGGAATGTACCAGTACCAACGTTCATTGATTCTGCGCAGTGCTTGACAGGGGCCCCGACAACCAGGGGTGGTGCACCAGAACTCTGGAAGCTGCGCGCAGCCACCCCTACTTCATGTTTTGGACGGTGTGGTGTTTCATTTATAGCGCCCATCTCATCTGCAAGAGTGTGATCGCGACGCTGGATGGATGGACGTGGTCTGATTGTAGCAAGTGGGGTGGGCCGAAATATTTCAGCAGCCTGGCACGCGTCATCAACGCATGCAGGTCACCTTTGATTCCAACGAAGCTTAAGCAAGCCGCACTCCACATTGTCGGGCCTGACAGAGCAGGGTCGTGCTTTCCTCGATTGCCTGGGCGTGCGCTGCGAGGGCGGTGGGGTTCGTGCGACAATGGCGAGGACACCATCATCCGGTATGAACAGTATCTTGGCCCTTGCTTTCGGATCGCGCTGGATAGCATCAAGGCGCCGCGGGCCACGCGCAGCGCAGCCGCAGCCAAGGCGGCCGACGACGAGACCGAATATGATAATGCAGCTTTCCAGGCGGAGCACAAGAAGTACAGGGACATCGCGAGGCTCATGACATCGACGCCCCTTTGGTATACAATGGTCCATGTGTCTCGCACAGCAAAGAAGCCGCTTGTGACTTGGTTGTATTGGACTCAAAAGATGGATAAATCATATCGGGTTTTGCTGAAAGATGCCCTCGAGCGCGAATGCGCATGCTTAGGCAACACGCCCCTGAGCGAGTTAGTGAGCTGAAAAGTGGCCAGCGTGGACAAGCAACTTGCGGACATCTTGGACGAGGGCGCAAGGCTCGACGAATGCCGCTGGGGCAGTGTGTGGAAGCATTGCCCTGGCGACTTGCAACCAAAGTGCGTCGACCTTATCACACCCGCACCCTTGCAGGCTGCGTGTGGTTGGTTTCATCGCGGTATCATGGTCCACTGCTGGTTCCCATACTTGCTTCTCCTTATCGTTGAAGAAGAGCCCGGCGTCGTGTGCGAGAAGCGCCAACAAGTCGCATTTGCTCTCGGCGAGAAGGACGAATGCTGTCTCATGGACAGGTCAAGTGACATCACTGTGAAAGTCAAGCACATGTGGAGCGAGGGCTCGCTGTTGTCAGGGAGGTAGGTCGTTGCCCAGTCAACCTATTCGGATTTATGTTGGGAGTACGCGGTCAACTGGGCATGGATACTCCAGATTTCGTAATAAAGGGAGGGGGGTCTCATTTCGGGGGGGGTCTCTTCCAGGCTATCTTGGGGGGCCTGGGGGGTCTGGGGACGATGTTTTGGAGGGTTCTCCCACGGGGGAGGTCTGAAATGGCTTGTCTTGGAGGGTCCAGACCCCCTCCCTTGTATTACGAAAACTGGAGTACGCAAAAAGTGGAAGGTGATATACCGGTACTTCAGAACCTTGGGAACAAAGAACGGAATCTGCACATCCCCGCCGCAACGAGCAGAATGTCATTGAAACTAGGGGCCCCCATTTCACCAGAGGATTGCGTCCGATTAAAAGCAAAAGTTGACGAGATGATACGCGCGCCAGCGTGCCCGTGTCGATGTACCCCAATGGTGCCTGAAGTGCTCGGAGTGGCCAGCGGGTGCGGGCACCCGAAAGGGTTCGGCTTCCACCAGTGTCGCCATCGCCGAGGCCGCCTTGAAAAGTTCGTGCCTGGGAAAGTGCACGACATCTACAACGAGCTGCACGTCGGTGCGTCGTTCGCGTACTGTTTTTCCCCACATCCTAAGTGGGGTTCTTGTTTTCTCTGCACACCCTCCGCGCAGGATCTCTCGTCCTCCTCCCTCTCCTCTGCTCCTCTTTGCTTCCTCCTCCGCATCATCATCACCATCACCATCATTCCCCACTCATCATCATCATCATCATCATCATCATCACCATCAGCATCACCATCCCACGATCACTCACCATCATCGGCATCGAACGATCATCATCATCATCATCATCATCATCATCATCATCATCATCATCATCATCATCATCATCATCACTACTCGCTGACTTGAGGCCTGAATATTGAGGAAGTCTCGAGCGGGAGCCTCGTCTGTGAGTGAATTGTGAGGACGTCTCAAGCGGGAGCCCCCTCCCTATGGGGCCCGCAGATCACGTTACTAATCTAAGCGGGCCATCGGATTCCTCGTCACTTTTGGGCTCCTCAGGTTTGAATTTGGAGGAAGTATCAAGCGGGAGCCTCGTTTGTCAGTGAATTGCAAGGAAGTCTCAAGCGGGAGCCCCCTCCCTATGGGGCCCGCAGATCACGTTACTAATCCGAGCGGGTCATCGGATTCCTGTAATTGTCGTCACTTTGGGGCTCCTCAGGTCTGAATTTGGAGGAAGTATCACGCGGGAGCCTCGTTTGTCAGTGAATTGCGAGCAAATCTCAGGCGGGAGCCCCCTCCCTACGGGGCCCGCAGATCATGTTACTAATCCGAGCGGGTCACCGGATTCCTGTAACTGTCGTCACTGTTGGGCTCGTCAGGTCTGAATTTGGAAGAAGTATCAAGC